CCATTGTAGCTCAAGCAAGTTTCCTAACTTCTCTGACTCTTAGTTTCTTCATTAGTTAAACAGGATAATAATAGCATCTACCGACGAATTGACAACAAATTCTTGTCAATCACTCAGCACATGCTTGGCATATAATGAATCCTGAATAAATGTTAGCTATATACAAGTATCAACAACAGTGAGCAAATCCCCTGTGGGTCTAAAACTCTCAGTCTTCAGGATTCTATGCCCTTAACTCCTTTTATAAAAAGCACAACTGAGCATAATAATTTAGCTCATTGATTCTCTACTTTTAAAATTTCTCCACCAACTTTCACAGAAGATGTTATGTGATAAAAATATTTTTTTGCATTGAATTGGTTATAAAACAAAGGATAGGATAAGCCAACAGAGTTTTCCTTTATATTTCTGCAGAATCTCAAATAATTCTTTGGAAGTTGGGTGTGAACTCATTAAATATTTCAGAACTTTCTGACAAATTCACATCATCTTTCATTATAGAAGGTGCTCAATACATTTGTTCTGATTTAAAATTGAGTTAATATATAATATGTTAGAATCACTGCTAACAGAAGTGGCAGGAATCTTAAGGGTCTAGTTCTACCAGTTAGTTGATGTTTAATCCCATCAACATGTTATTCTCAGCCAAAAGTTGTCCAGATCTTGTTTGTAAATCTCCAGCGATGGAAATTTACTTTCTTATAAGGCAGTGCATTCTTGTTGTGAGTTCCATGCCCCCGAACATTTGATGTGGATTAGTTCTCTCTCTGAGTTTACCTTGAGGCCAGATTCAGCACTTCCTCACATCCTCAGAGAGCAGATCCAATCCCACAAATCCTTAGTAAATAAAGTAGATTGTACTGAATGTTACCAATGGTGGTTATCATGAAACACTAAAGGTAATTTACATACTTCAAAGCAAATTTAGTTAAAATCCTTCTTAGATATCTTTGAATACCAAAGTAACTTTCTAGATAGTCTAGCAATGTTATCTCTTTTTTTCCTTCTTTTTGTCCCAAATTTAGTCTCTGAAATTCCCTATATTTTCAGAGCATCTCAGCTTAAGTTCTTAACCAGAATATCTCTCTCAAAACAAAAGCCCATCAGCGGAGGAACACATCATCTTAGACAGCAGGCCAGTGGCCATCCATTGTCATTTTACGGGCACTGGCCAAAAACAAGTATGTAATATTTTCTCCCTTCACCCTAGGTGATCTATCAAAATATTTGCCCAACCAAAGCAGATCCCTTTTTTTTAAAGATAGAGTGAGGGTGGAGGCAAGAGAAAAGGACATATGTGGAGAGTGTCATACGTGATTGGGCTGCTCATAAATATGGTTTTCTCCATATTACACCTAATTTACAATATTAGGTAACTGAAAGTTTCCGAAGGAGTGTTTATGTTTCAGTAAGTGCCTAACTTGCCCCTAAATAGAAATTAAATTTTTTAATAACAGCTTTATCGTTTATTTTTATATCAGTTATATTTCACATACCATAAAATTCATAAAATACTCTTTTAAAGTATACAATTTAGTATATGAGGGGCTTTTAGTATATGAGGGGTCTTCAAAAAGTTCATGGAAAGATTCATATTATCTTTTAATGCTGTTTTCCCAGGAACATTTTGAAGTACCCTTATATTCACAGTCACTACTATCTATTTCTAGAAGATTTTCATCACCCCAGAAAGAAATCTCTTACACTTTAGCAGTCACTCCCCATTTCTCCCTCTTCCCAGCCCTTGGCAACCACTAATCTCCTCTTTATCTCTATGGATGTGCCTATTTTGGACATTTCATATAAATGGAATCATACAATATTTGATATTTTGTGATTGGCTTATTTTACTTAGCACAATGTTTTTAAGGTTTGTATATGTTGCAGAATATATCAGTACTTTTTTTTGGTCACCAAATAATATTCCATTGTGTAGATATACCACATTTGTGTATCTATCAGTTGATAGACATTTGGGTTGTTACCACTTTTTGGCAAATACAAATAATGCTACTCTGAACATTCATGTACAAGTTATCATGTGGACAAATGTTTTCATTTCTTTTGGGTATATACTTAAGAATGAAACTGCCGGGTCATATAGTAACTCTATGTTTAGCTTTTGTTAGGAACTGCTAAACTGTTTTCTAAAGTGGCTGTCCCGTTTTACATTCTTACCAGCAAGTATGAGTGTTCCAATTTTTCCACATGCTCACCAGCACTTGTTACTGTCTGTCTTTTTAGTTATAGTCATCTTAGTGGGTGTGAAGTCATATCTTACTGTGATTTGATATGCATTTCTCTGTTGCCTAATGATGTTGAGCATCTTTTCATATGCTTATTCCCATTTGTATATCTTCTTTGAAAAACCTTCTGTTCAAATCATCTGTGTTCTTTTAAATTGGGTTTGTCATCTTTTTAATGTTCAGCTGTGAGTTCTTTTTAGATTATACTGTAAGTCCCTTCACATATATATTATCTGCAAACATGTTCTTCCATTCCATAGGTTTTCCTGAATAGTAATTTATGTTTAGGCAATATTTCAGTTATTCAGAAGTTAAAGTTTAAGTATGGATATTATCCAAACCCTTTGTCTCTCTTCTGGGTTTGTTCCAATTTGGAAAAACCAGTGCTCACAGCATACTCTAAAAAGAATGCACAGAAAAGGGGAAAAGCACCATGCCTAGCAGAGAGAATGTTTTCAATTAACTTTGGCAAGTGAATGAATACAATTTATGTGTTTATTTCAGGTTCTCACACTACTCTGACTTGTTGCTTCCCCCTGATGGACTTTCAGAGCAATGATGCTCATCTCTTGGCCTGAAGACTCTCAGGGGAGCTGTGAGGTGGGTGTTGCTGTCTCCACGTGCAGACTTGTTGCTTCCCCCTGATGGACTTTCAGAGCAATGATGCTCATCTCTTGGCCTGAAGACCCTCAGGGGAGCTGTGAGGTGGGTGTTGCTGTCTCCACGTGCGTGCTCTCAACTGTCTACTCCACATTGATGCACTAGAGCATAACCACTATCATAGGGGAATCCACAAAATTTTCACAGTAAAACGCAGTTTCATGTTTTGCTCTTTGAGAATCACTGACTTAAGAGAAATAAAGTTGTCTTTGTCCATTCAGTGTTGACTCTATAGTGTTTTCAGTGGCCCTTGGCATTTCTATATTGTTTATGCCATGGATGTTTACTTGGAGGTTCACTTAGGAAATGTCACATTTATGTCAACACCCTCAACCTAAGAGTTGTTCTCACAGTGTGCTTTGCTGTCCCCTTGACCAAATACATAGCTGTAGAGGAATGGATCTAATGCTGTGAGGGCAGCAGGCCACACCCGCCTCCCATCAGACCAGCTGAGCCACTTGGGAGATCTTGGGGCTGACAGATGGTCCCGGCCAGGCGCCTGCATCTCCACATCACGTACAACAGCCTACTAAGATCACTTTGCAACTGACATTTGACATAATCTCGTATATATCTTGAGTGCTGACCCACAGGAAAGGTCAGAATGATTCAAAACTGGGAGGAATCGAAAGACTGCTAGTTGGGACTGCAGTTGAAAGTAAGAAATGAAGGAAAGCATATGTGTGAAGGAAGTGAGCTGGTCAAGGAAGAACAGAGGGAAGCAAGACACTCACTTGGAACTGGCTATCACGAGTCTAACTTTACACAGGCAGAGCTGGCTGGCCTGCTAGTGTTACTCAGCTCAGTTACCCATCCGGTGTACTTGACACACACACGGAAGCAAGCACCTGCTAACTAGTGAAACATCCATGTGGCTGTGAGTGTGCACAGTGACCCCATCAGTGAAAAGAGAAAAAGGGAATTTATAAAATTAATGGATTTGGGGAGTTAATGTGAACATGTTTGTCATCTCAGTCCAGGTTGTAGAAAACAATTGCTAAATCTAAATAGCCATTTATAATGCCACATTATGGTATTTACACAGTGCTTTTTCTTCCCCCTTAAATTCAATCACTTTTTAGTTTACTTTATTGCTCAGCATCACGACATTCCCATGAAGGAGAGAGGCTGTTTCACCACTTGACCTGAGGCTCAGAGTTGAATTGACTGTATTCTGGAGGTTGGGGAAGAAGGGATAGGTCACTGATATTTAGACCCCTCTCTGGAGCTTGGAACTGAACTAGGCATTACACATATGTAAGTTCCTTTAATCCCTACAAGAACCCCATGAGATGGTTGTTATAATTTCATAGATTAAAGAAAATTGCCCAAATCACTGAACTAGTAATGGTTGGATCAAACCATGTCTTACAGCCATATTCTTTCAGCTATGCCAGGTTCTTATTTGCCGACTGTAATTGATTGAGGCCCATTGCCTGGAGGGATGTGGGGAGGAAGTCTCAGCCCTTGCCCAGTTATTCTGTACGACACTGGTGAGGATGGAAGAACTGGCATCTAATACAGAACGTAAAACATCACAGAATGAGTGAATTTGTGTTAGGCCTCATTTCTAAGGGACTAAAGGAAGGCTAACCACTACACAGAGTCTATATTTTGAGGAAGCTAAGAAAGACTCTGCAAAAAGGTCCTTACAATTGCATTTTGACAATACTTTTCTCTTCCTTCCCTTTTCTGCTGCAAAATTAGCCATGGCTAATTATCTCTTTTTCCCCATGGTACCTGCTGCTTTATTCCGTAAAGGGGTTTTCTTCCTTAAAATAACATTCTCCTTTTACTTGAAAGGTGAGTATCAGTGACACATGGAAATGTAGCAGAAATACAAGTACATTCCCAATATAGGTAGCCAATAAACGTATGACTGGAGGATTGGTAGATTTTAGACAAGGACCTGACATCTTTGATTATCACGGACAGATGAAGGGTTAACAGATTTAAATCCTTGATTTTTACAAATTAAAAAAAAAAACCCTTTCATTTTCTTTTGCAAATTACAGCAACAATGTACATGTCTGTGTTCTTCTCTTTTAGGTTTTCACATACAGAAAAATATCAGTCTCCCAGTAAAGTCCAGACCTTTGGCTCTGAATCCCAATCACTCCCAAACTTACTGCACCATTTCACTTTCCAGTTACGATTAGCATCAACTCCACGGCAGTGAAACCTTGAGTTCCTTGACCTTGTTTTTCTCCAAAATCGATCCTAGATGTAATTAAGAAAACAGGTGCAGAGAAAAAATACTTATAAAGGTTATTAACACGTATTCTAGAAGCCTAATTAGTGAACAAGTCACACCACTGAGGGGAAAGTTCTCCCATGAACAGACAAGGCCAGAAAATGAAAAGAGGGCTGGATTAGCTGTGGAGACCCAGGCTCATGCTCCAGTGTCTGCCACAAACTTCCCGTGTGCTGCCTTCTTATGTCCCTATTTCTTCACAGGTAAAGTTAAATGGGTTGGACTAGACCAGTGATTTTTCAAAATTTATTTGGAGGGAGAAATCTTTATTACCTGAAATCTTATGAAAGCCAAATGTGAAAACAAAATCAGAAGGCTGGTACTCTGATTGGGGAGGGAGTGAAGTCTTTTTTTTGCATCCCTGGAAGCTTCCTTCCTGTCCTGGAAGTTTATGACTCTGTTGTCTATGATTTATTAAGTCCTCTTTTCAATTGGGTAGGCAAAGTGACTTACATTGGTCCAGCTAAAATGGTATCCATCAACATTAAACACAGGCATGATATAGAAATACAGATGATGCAACATTTTTCTCATGGCTGGGTCACTCCTATATGTTTGAAGAGCCTAAAAAACAAAGGCGACATTTTTCTTATAAATTGGTCCCAAATACAGGTTTAGGAAAAAAAGAGTGTGAGAATATTTTTCTACCCATGACAAATACCAAATACTGTGAGTTAAAAATTAATAAGTTAAAATAAACTATACTCTTTGGCACCATACATTCTCTATTAAGACTTTTGTCTGCGTAAGCTATTACCTATAATCTTTTACCAAAGTTGTTAAAAGATTCATTGGGAAACCTCTTACAGTATTTCAGATTTGGCTACATTTGTAGGCTGATTAAGAAAGTAACAATAGTGATATGCTTTTGTATAACCAGATCTTTTTAGATTCCATTCAATTGTGAACAAAATAATTATCTAAATATATTTGATAGCCTTACATGATACATCATAGCACAGACTAGTTATATCTCACTTAATTGTTTATATCTAATTGGTACCAGCCTCAAGCACTGGAACTTATTGCATGAAAACTCTGTTCTTCTCTCCTTACTTTTCTATAAAAAGTTTAATGGACAATAGAACTAGAACATATTTGTCATCTTTATTGTGCTTTTGAAGTCTTGCACTTGTGATTGGGTTTCATTTATACTGTGTCTGACTCCAAGTCTCAAGATTCTTCACTATAGACTTGGCCTCAAATAGAAAAGTATTTTAAGTGCTAAATCAAGTTGAGAACACAGACATTTTGAAATATTATTCCTATGGAATGAACTTTTTAAAAAGTTATTTTTGATGCATGTTTGTCTATGTGTAGAATATCTTGGAGAAAACAGGAAATTTGTAACAACGGTTACCTTTGGTGAGGGGGTTGGGGACAATGTGTGGGAAGGGGAATTACCTTTCATTTCATACCTGTTTGGATTGTTTGAATTTTTACCATATTAAAAACACAATTCAAAGTAAAAGAATGTTTTTTTAAAAAACTACTTTATTGAGGTATGATTGACATACAAAAAGCTGTACAATTACCTTTCATTTCATACCTGTTTGGATTGTTTGAATTTTTACCATATTAAAAACACAATTAAAAGTAAAAGAATGTTTTTTTAAAAAACTACTTTATTGAGGTATGATTGACATACAAAAAGCTGTACATACTTAATACATACAAGGGTACTTTTAAACGTTTATGGAAAGACTAGTGTTCTTTCAATTCTATTTTTCCATGAACTTTTTGAAGTGTCCTCATTCAACTTGATGAATTTCTAGATAAGTATGCACTGTGAACCATCACCACAATCTATGCCATAAACATATCCTTTACCTTCTGATAGTTTCCTCCTGCCCTCTTTATTTATCATCATTTTTTGTGATAAAAACATTTAACATAAGCTCTAACTTTTTAGCAAATTTTTAAGTATACAATACAGTATTGTTAACTATAGGCAGTATGCTGTCCAGTAGATATCTAGGACTTAATTCAACTCACATAACCAAAACTTTGTACACTTTGACTAATACTTCCCACTTCCTCCCTCCCCAAATAAAAGAATTCTTAAATTATGTATATACTGCCTTGGAAAATTTAATCCTTAAAATTTCAATCTTCTTTTACATCTAGTTAAGTAGGATATCTGAACCCATCATAAGCAGCATTCTTTATTTATACACTGAGAATTCCACTCATAGAGAGCAATCCAATAATACCATTTTTTTATTGGTTATGAATATTCATGGGGTACAAAGCTGACTGTCACCACTCATGCCCAAGATGTGATGGCCAGATCAATACTGGCACCAGGCCCATTACCACAAATTGCGGTTACACCCCGGGTCCCCCACACAATTAATCCCTGACCTCTCTCCCCCTCCTCCTTCCCTCACCCTACTTTGTATCCCTAGGTATGCTCTCTCCCTCTGTAAGTCCAAGACACCACTGTGGTCTTTCTTTCCTTCTTTCTTTCTCTCTTGGCTCCCACTTATCAGTGAAGATGTGCAGTATTTTTCCCTCTGTGCCTGGCTTATTTTGCTTAATGTAAGTTTCCCCAAGCTCATCCATGTTGTTGCAAATGGCAGAATTTCATTCTTTTTTATGGCAGAGTAGTATTCCATGGTGTATATATACCACATTTTCCTTATCTAGTCGTCTATCAGTGGACATTTAGGTTGATTCCATATCTTGGCTATTGTAACTAGAGCTGTGATGAACACAGGAGTGCAGATATCCCTTCGACATGATGATTTCCATTCCTTTGGGTATATACCCAGAAGTGGGATAGCTGGATCGTATGTTAGATCTATCTGTAGTTGTTTGAGAAGCCTCCATACTGTTTTCCATAGTGGTTGAACTAATTTACAATCCCACCAACAGTGTAGGAGTGTTCCCTTCTCTCCACATCCTCGCTTGCATTTGTTATTCTCCATCTTTTTGATTATAGCCAGTTTAACTGGGGTGAGGTGATATTGCTATGTGGTTCTAATTTGTACTTCCTTGATAATTAGTGATGTCAGCATTTTTTCATGTACCTGTTGGCCATTTGTATGTCTTCCTTTGAAAAATGTCTATTCAGCTCCTTTGCCCATTTTCCAATAATGCAATTTGTTAAAAACTACCATGATATTACAAGTAATATTGAAAATATAGGGGTATACTCAAGAATGTGAGTTAAATTAAAATTTTATTGCATACAATTTAAATATCTATGATATTAGCACAAGTTGATAAACATTAATACAATTTTGTCTTATTCTCCTTTTGTTTAAGGCTCAGTAATAATTGCTGACCAACTAGCTTCAACAGAATTTCCACGTATGCTTTAATTTCTATTAATTAACTAATACCTCAAACTAGGGGGGAAATCCTTAATATGCAATCAATTATACAAATCCTGGAATTTTGTTTTCCTCTAATAGGCAGAGATTCCCCAAAGATTGTTGGAGACAGCAGAGACAGTGGTATTTTGTTAGCTACATTTCTCCCTTGAAGTTCAGCAGCTGTGGCTTTCCATGATAATTTAAGAGAGAAGGAGAAAGGAGCTGGGGCAACAAGGCAGGAAAGAAGGGGTAGGAAAAAGCCATGGTAGTTTCTCTTCCTCTCCTAGCATTGGGGACCATAAATCTTTTGTCTCAGTCCAAACTGAGGATGTCTCATCTTTTCCAAGCACGGGTCATGTTTGCACCTACATGGCAGGCTTTGCTAGAGACCTTCATGAGAACATTCTCATCTTATTCTGCCTTCCCCTCCATTGCAAGTGACCGCCATACCTATATCTTTAAAAGAATATTTCCATTCAACATACCTTTTGCCCACCAACACACCTTGCCATATTTACCAAATCTTTTAAAAAATATCGAGACATTACAGATACAACTAAATCCCCCTTTTATCACTCCCTGATCTCATTTTCTTCCCCATACCATGACAATCCCAATCCTAAACTTGACATTCATTCTCATGCATGATTGTATGTTTTGCTACATATATATTGATTCATAAACAATATATAATACTGTGTATATGCTTTGAAATTTTATGCAAATGAGGTCATGATGTGTCAATCTGCTGTCTTCTTTCTCCCCAATGTTATATTTTTGACATTTATTAAGTTGAAGATTTATTTGACCAGTAAATGGTATTCCATTATAGGTTAAACACACAATGTATCGATCTCTTATTTTGTTATGGACAGCTAGGTTGTGTTTGATATTTAACTGTTGCAGTATTGCAATGAATATTCTTGCACATTTCTCCTAGACATATGTGAGAATTTCTTTATGATATATCCAGGAATGGATTTGTTGTGTCATGAATTTACATGCCTTCAACTTTACTAAATGTTGCCATTTTTTCTCTAGATTAGTAAACAATCCTATCTGCAGTGAATGAGAGTGAGTTAACATGTCACCTCTGTCAAATAACAAGTTTCCATTTGTGGGTAGAATTGCTTTAATGCACTTTGGTTTCTACCTATTCATCAAACCCATACCGTGGTTTATATAGGATCTGATGAGTCTGATAGGATGTGCCTCCTCACGTTGTCCCAGTTTAAAATTATTTTGGCTATTTTGACCCTTCTCTCTTCATATTCATTTTGGAATTGAGGCTGATCATATTTGTGACATTTTGTTTTATACTTAGGCTGTTTGTTTTTGTTATTGATGGATGTTGAACTTCAGCAAATGAATTTTTTTCATGTACTGACAATAATTTGGTTGTTGTTATGATAAATTTCAATAAATAATATTCTATTGTTAAATCATCCTTGTATTCCTGGGATAAGCCCATATGGTTATGATATGTAGTCTTAATATATTGGCTGGATTCAAGTTGCTAGACACTCCTAAATTAGATAGACCTATAATTTCCTCTCATATCTTCATGTGGTTTTGGTATCAGGGTTATATTACCAAATATAATGTGATTTAGGGAATATTATAAACTATATTTGGTAAGCATTTTTTTAATCAATTGGAATTTTTATTTCCCTGAATGGTAGAATTAAGCTCTAAGACCATCTAGGCCTAGAACAGAAATTAATTCAATAGAAAATGAAGATACAATAGGAAAGATATCTTTGCTTTTTATTCCATTGATTTCTGCTCTTTATCTTTTGTTGACTCTTTTGTTCCTTTTCTAATTTCTTGAGTTGAAAGCTTGGCTCACTAATTTGGAGACTTTATTCTTTTCTAATATATTTATTTAAAACTATAAATTTCCTTTCAGTACTACTTTAGTGGCATTCTATATGCTTTGATATATAATAGCTTTGTTACCATTCAGTTCTAAATATTGAAAAATTTCCTTGATTTATTTAAACCATGTTTTATTAAACATACATCAATATGTTTTTGTTTCTAAATATGTGAGTTTTTTCTAAAGTTATATATATATATTTTTTTCCTTTTTGTCATTTTTACTGACCGGCAACGGGATCGCAACCCTCGGTGTTGCGCCCACACCGCGCTCAGCCAGTGAGCGGGAACCAGTCTCCACATGGGATCCGAACCCTCGGCGGGAGCGCCGCTGCGCTCCCAAGCGGCACACTCTCCAGCGCGCCA